ATATTGACAGAGAACCTCCAGAGGTGCAGGCTGGATTCAGAAGAGGACATGGAACAAGGGATATCATTGCTGATGTCAGATTGATCTTGGCTCAAAGTAAAGAATACCAGAAAGATGTTTACTTGTGTTTTATTGACTATGCAAAAGCATTTGATTGTGCGGATCATAACAAATTTTGAATGACATTAAGAAGATTGGGAATTCCAGAACACTTAAGTGTACTCATGAGAAACCTGTACACAGACCAGGAGGCTGTTGTTCAAACAGAAAAAGGGAATACTGCATGGTTTAAAATCAAGAAGTGAGTGTGTGAGGGTTGTATCTTTTCACCATACTTATTCAATCTGTATGCTGAGCAAATAATTCAAAAACCTGGACTGTATGAAGAAGAACATGGCATCAGGATTGGAGGAAGAATCATTAACAACTTGCAATATGTGGAGGACACAACTTTGCTTGCTGAAAGTGAGGATAACTTGAAGTACTTACCGGTGAAGATTGAAGAATACAGTCTGCAGTATGGATTGTTGTTGTTATTGTTGCCGTTGAGTTGGCCCCGACTCAGAGCGACCCCTCCTTGGGTTTCCGAGGCAGTATCACTATGGAAGTAGGATTGCCCAACCTTCCTTCCGAAGAGTGGCTGGTGGGTTTGAACCGCCAGCCTTCTGGTGAGCAGTCAAGTGCAGTATGGATTAGATCTCAATATAAAGAAAACAAAAATCCTCACAACTGGACCTATAAGCAGCATTACGATAAATGGAGAAAAGATTGATATTGTCAAAAACTTCACATTGCTTGGTTCTACAATCTACACCAATGGAAGCAGCAGTCAAGACATCAGACGACGTATAGCACTGGGCAAATTGGCTGCAAAGGACCTCTTCCAAGTGCTGAAGAGCAAAGATGTCTCCTTGAGGACTAAAGTGTGCCTGACACAAGCCATGGTATTTTCAATTGCCTCATATGCATGTGAGAGCTGAACAATGAATAAGGAGGGTCTAAGCACTTGACTGCTAACCAGAAGGTTGGCGATTCAAACCCACCAGCCACTCCTCGGAAGGAAGATGGGGCAATCTACTTCCGTAGTGATACTGCCTATACTGCCTCGGAAACCCAAGGAGGGGTCGCTATGACTCAGAGCCGACTGGACGGCACATAACAACAAAACAACAAGAAGAGTTGATGCTTTTGAGCTGTGGTGTTGGTGAAGAATGTCGAAAGTACCGTGAACTGCTAAAAGAACTAACAGGTCTGTCCTGGAGGAAGTGCACAGAATGCTCCTTGGAAGCAAGATTGGCCAGACTTTGTCTCACCTACTTCGGTCATGTTGTCAGAAGGGACCATTTCCTGGAGAAGGATGTCATGCTTGGTAAGGTAGAGGGTCGACAAAAGAGGGGAATTTTAAGTCGGAGATGACTCAATGGCACTTAACAACGACAACAAAGTCTTTGTCTTGCATTTCAATATTCCAAAAGATTTGTAGGATAATAAATTAGGCCTGATGAAGAAAATAGGATTCAGGGAGACCATGGAAAGTAATCTTATTATATAACACAATTCCAAGAGATGTAGACAGCACATCACACAGGTCGCCACAGGACCCAACCAGATTCAGGGCAACTGCAATGAAAAGAGAAAGAAAGAGAATGAGGAAATATAAGAAGCTTCCTTTGTTGTAGTTTTATGGCAGGGTTGATAGTTAGCTAGGCTTGTGTGTAGTTTACTAGTTGTTTTTTATAGTTCCTGCCTAGTTTGGAAGTATATGAGTTCCCAAGGATGTTACCAAATTGTGTTTACTTCAGTGCATCAGAGGGGTCCTGGGTCCTGAATATCAGGCAAAGCGGAAGAAGCTACTTACTATATGGGGTGAGCTTGAGACATGAGCTCAGAATGTTAGAACATCAAAAATGATTTCAATTGTTAAAGCAATTGACCCTGTGGTTCATCACCATTCTCTACCAGTATGGATTCATAGATTTTGCTTTTGTAGACCTGAGTAGGAGGACAAGCATGAATAATCCTTATCTGCTGTAGTAGTTAAGTTTGTGTGTCAACTTGACTGGGCTTGGTTGAGTGCCTGGGCAGCTGGATATAGTATTCCCCATAATGAGACTGGTAATCAATTCCATGGTGGGATATACCACAAGCAGCTGAGTATCTGCCTTAGGTATGTGGTCTGCTTCCTGTATATAAGGAGAAGCCTTGGGGATAGTCTCTAGCTTATGGCATGCTTAAACCCTCCATGTAGCCGTGTCGTTGTTCAGCAGCCTGCCATGCTCTGACAACCTTGGGACTTTCAATGGACTCGAATTAATGGCCTGCCATGTGGTTTGGTAACATCTGGCTGTGCCTTTTTACTTGTGAACCTTGGGCTTGTCAGCCTCAGCAGCTAGCAGCTGAGTGAAGAAAAACCTCCAGTTTCAGTGGGCCAGCAGCAGGAAGCAGAGCTGAAGCCCAAGGTTGAGGGGCTTTCACCCAGCTCCTAGAGCCTGGCACTTTGAACTCAGACTTAAAACCTCCAAGCTGTAAGAGAATAAACTCCTGTTTGTTCAAGCCATCCCATTTGTGGTATTTTCTTGTCAGAGCAGCACTAGGTAACCAAAACACTACCTGATTAATGGAGATGCTAAAAGTGTAGTGTACTTCCAGGGAGACCCAGTGAAACATAACTTTAATTAAGATTACTATTAGATATATTCCCAGGAGCTGACCAACATAATTTAAATGCTTGTCTGTCACCATTATGCCTGACTACCAGGGGAAAGACAGGAGAACAGTCTGAAACAGGTGGATAGAATGATATTTTTTCAAAACCTTTGATAATGTTATAAAAGACTTGGCCATGCATAAAAACTTCTTGTAATATGTTGGTTATTCAACCTAATTTGTTAACATACCTGCAACAGGAAATACCATTAATTGCACAGACACCTCTTCTTTATCTAGAAGGTAACAGAGAATTAGAGGATTATCCAAGACTATCTGCACTAAGCAGGAGACTGGTGGTGCATTGGTTAAAGTGCTCAGCTACTAATCAAAAGGTTGACTGTTTGAACCCACCAGCTGCTCCAATGTGAAAGATGTGGCAGTCCTCTTTCATAAAGACGTACAGCCATGGAAACCCTGTAAGGCAGTTCTGCTCTGTCATATACAGTCAATATGAGGTGGAATCAACTCAGTTGTGCTAAAGATTCCTGCTTTTGTGCATAAGACTTAAGGACTTACGTTCATTTTGAATGTGTCAAACAGAGATTTTGAAAGTTGTTGATAAAGTAAGATAATCTGTTTTGTTTTGCTCTGTTTACTGCCATGGCTCTACTGAAACCCATGCTGGTGCCAGAACTGGCCACTATGAGCCCAACTGATAAATTGATATTAGTCAATGATATATTTGTGTGATATGACTGAGTCAATTCCAGGCTTATAAACTGAGATGGAAATGCCCTGGGAAACCACAGTGCAGTGAAACATAATGAGGTTGTGACAGTCTTGGACTGAAATTGGAAGGTTGAAATAGATCAGAGGTAGGGTTGCCAGCTGGTGTGGTAGGTGACCAGCAATAGTTGGGTAAGTGTTTTAGATAAATGCAGAGAAAAGGAAGGTTAGTAGGTATGGGTATAGTGAAATAGAAAAGTGCACAGGCACTGAACTTAGGGGTGGATTTACTCAAAAAGTCCTTTTTTTTTTCTTTTTTTCTTTTTTTTTTTGGTGGGACTGGTTCTTTATTTCAAAAAGACACTTGTCAATTTTCAGTATCAAAACAGTTGCACTACTGGTTTCTCTTTCTCCCAATCGGCCCCTGAAAGAGACCACACCAAAGGAGAGTACATTTTAAGCTAATAAACTGCAGGATGCACACCTAACACACTTCACAGGAACCTCACCAAAAAGGGGGAACTGGGTGCATAAAAGACTTTTAAAACATCAGCACATTGCCAGCCGACAGACTGTAGAGAGAACTCACAGCCAGATGGGGTGGCCAGTGCACCCCAACCCCAAAGAAGCGAAGTTTCAAAATAATATAAAATTTCAAAAATGTTTTGTACATAGATATTCAAGATTTCTCCAGCACTGACTGGTACAAAGCATTCTGAGATGGCACTTTGAGGGACAGCAGCTTCAGACCCAGAATGGGGTGATGAGATGAGTTTCCTATGGCTGAATCAATGCCAGACAATTTTCTTTTCTATCTTTTTAAAAAGGAGGAAGGAGAGCAATTAAAGTGGTCACCCCACCGCAGGGGCACATGATCCATTCTGTGAGTGATTGGGAAGAGGGTAGAGAAAGGATGAGGTAATGATTTGATCACAGACAGAAGTCTTAATTTGTTTGGTCACTTCTGATGAAGAGTAAAATAAAATAAAAATCACCTTGCTCCAAGATACCTTAAAGCTGAAAACCTGAACAGCACATTAAAAACTTTTTTTGGCTAACTCCTCCTGGAATCACCTTTCTGGTTTGGCTCGTGCTTTGTACAGAGCAATGAGGGTTTCCATAGTGGGAGTCTTTCCCTTGGCTGTGTCTGGCTCTCAGTAAGGCAGGCTCATACTTCTTTCCCTCCTCTATGGAAAGGGCAGTATGCATTAAGCTGAAAAGCTACCTTCCAAAAAAGTGAGAAAGGGATTAGATTGCTGCTTCAGAGCTGTGCAGTTATTTGGAATGTTTTACAAATGGCTGCTACAACAACAAAAGTAATTACAAAATGTGTACATCACAACATGCTTTTGAAGACACTTGCACTGTGCTCGTTTCCTTAAATGTTGTTCCCAAAGATGCTCAGCCCCTAGCCCAGCTGGAATCTCTGGTGAGAGGCAGAGATAGTTGGCAGGAAAAACAAAAAAAGGTGTGATGAGGAAAGGAGGGAAGGTAGATAGCGAGAGGAGAAAGCAGCCTTCCAGTTAAAGATCAGCCCTCAGTTTAAAGGTCAGCTTCGGGCAGGCTGGCCTCAGGCGGAGTCGGGGTCAAGGGGAGGAGCAGCCGCAGGGCGGGACTGGGGTGTTCTACATCTCATTCAGGTCAAGCAGAGTCTGGTCTAGCATCCTTTGTGTACAGAGGTGCTCCTCTTTGGTGCATTTCAGTTTATCTTCCAAATCATCAATTGTCTTTTCCAGCTTGGCTACCGATCTCTCAGCAAACTCAGCACGGGTCTCTGCCTCCTTGAGTTTATCAGTAAGAATCTTTATTTCTTCCTCATATTTGTCTTTTTGAGAGTACTTTTCTTCAGCAGCACTCAGACACTTCAGGTTCTGGGCCATCAGTCTGATCTGCTCAGCCATCTCTCGGCTACGGGACTCTGCCAGCTCAGCTCGTTCCTCTGTACGTTCCGAGTCTCCTTCAATAATCACCAACTTACGAGCCACCTCCTCGTACTTCCGGTCTGCCTCTTCTGCAATGTGCTTAGCCTCTTTGAGCTGGATTTCCTGGAGTTCCATCTTTTCTTCATCTTTTAAGGCCCGGTTTTCAATAACCTTCACATTTCTCTCACTCTCCTCAACAGCTTTCTCTGCCTCCTCCAGCTTTTGCAGGGCACTGGCCAGGCGCTCCTGCGCGGTCCAGCTCCTCTTCAACCAGCTGGATACAACGATTCAAGGAGGCCACCTCAGCCTCAGCCTGTTCCCGCGCCCGCCTTTCCCCCTCCACTTCCCGCTGCAGGCGCTCAGCCCTCTCCTCTGCATCGTCTGCCTGCTGCTGCAGAACCTGGATCTTGTGCTTCACCGCCTCGATGGTGGTGATCCCGGCCGTGGTGCCCACCCAGCTTTTGCTCACGCTGGGGTTCCTGCCTGCTACGCTCGGCGTTGCAGCCGCTCCTCTCAAAAAGTTCTTAAGGCAGTAGTTGTTAGCCTCCTAACGGGGCTGTACCACACAAAAGATATACCTATCATAGAGGTTACAGGAGGTAGGGGTATTCTCAAGACACATGGGTATTTCAGTGTAAAAATATCTTGGGGAATTTAACTGATCCCAACAGGTATGCAGGGTATCAGGTTGGGGATTGGGAGTGGAGACTGAATGGCCGAATGATGCATGTAAAGAAAGTCTGGAAGAGAGTCTAAGTTCTCAGTAAAGTCAGTGGATAAAGTTGTGGTCAGGTTGGTCATAGTCATTTCCAATAGCAAGCTCTTCTTGGTTCAAGGCAATATTGTCTGAGCATCTCTAGCAACAAACTGTTGGGGTAGTGTGATGCCATCTGAAGCAATATCATCTCCAGAGACAAACTCTTGGGCAAGGGCAATGTTGTTTCTTTTGATGACTCTGGGGGTGGAGCTCCTTCAGGTGGGGGTTAGGCAGGAGAAGTATGTGCCCATGATCCAGCCTTCCACCCTTTGGAGTGGGGGTAGGATCAATAATGCATAAAGGCAGAGGGAGGTACACATACATAGTGAGTTTTTACACATAAAGACATGAGGTGTCTCACCCTTTAGTATAAGCAGGTGCTAAGGGAAATTTTTTTTTCTTTAAGTTGGTGTGAGGTTTCTATCCTCCAAAGGGTTCTGATTCAAGAGATTAAGGCATGGGACAAGAGGAAGAACCATTTTGGGATTCATTTGTTACTTTGTAACTTAAACAGAAGTTGTTTGAGGACACCAATTTCTCTATTGTAAATTTTAGAAGAGGTCCTTTGGAAAATGGTGTGGTATTCTGTAAGTCTGGGTAGGATAGAGGAAAGTTTCATGAATGCCTTTTCTAAGAGCTCAGCATTGTGTATTCTTATTGTGCCTTAGTCACTATCAGTAATGTCTGGAGTTCTGAAGAGGAGAAGTGTCCTGGTCAAGTTTTGTTTTAGTGCATTTGTAGATATATGTGACCTTGATTTACATTTGGCATATCTGTGAGGCAAGGAAGTTTCAGTCTTCTTTACTCTGGAAAAGACTATGTCTAGTTAATGGCTCAAGAGCTTTTTTAAAATGTGTAAATGGGACCATTTGTTAGTAAAGACATCTAGTGCTGAGGTCAAGTTTGGACTGTTGTGCTGACCCTTAGACTCCATCTTTTATCAGAGATATCCTGCTTAAGTTATGGAAAGTGGCAGTATTCCACTGAGTTCCATCACTTGTGATGGTGGCAGTGCCATCTCTATGAACTCCCATTGCTTTCACTCAGTTAATCCCAAAGACTCCCAGGTAGCCAAAGGATTGGAGCAGGTGTGACTTCCTTCAGTACCATAGCATTTGTCAAGGGACAGAGAACAGGGAGTGATACCCCTTCCCAGAGGTGGAAACAGTACCCCTTTCCAGAGGTGAAATATGCCAGAGAACCCTAGATTGACTCCATCCTGCATCAAGAAAGCTTCAGTAGTAGCCATGTCAAGCTTGTGGATGCCATTTCCATCCTGAGGAATAATGGAAAAGTTGATATGGAGGGTCACAGGCTCAGTTGGAGCCCCTGTGTCCACAAGAACCCACTATGCATCAGCAACTGTCACTCTAGTGGTGCATTGCATAGGTTCAAGAAGGACAGTTCCTTGTACTTTCATTTCATTTCATATAGATGGCTTTTAGTCATCATAGGTTGTCCAGAGACTTGAGGGGAAATGAGAGGATGTTGCTAATAATTGTTAGGCCAGAGTAAACTCAAGCCACCAACATTTCAGTTAGCAGCTTCCTCCAGGTGTCAGGTCCTGATGAGACAGCCTGATAGGACAACTGAGGTGGCAGAACCCACCCAGGCTGGAAAGCCCCATGTGATGATAAACTTCCTCCTGTGAAGCCCCCTCATGCTAATTAGGTGCAGACCCATGCCAACAACTAATTGGACCCCACCATTTCCTTAGTGTCCCCACTTAGGTCCTCTACAAGACTATAAACCCTACTATCCCCAGCCAGGTGGCGTGACTTCTCGGGCCCCTCTCAGGGACCTGTGAACCTCACCTGGGCCCCTCTCGGGGACCCGTAAACCTCGCCCAGAAGCACAGAATAAAAACTTCTCTTTAACCTCACTTTTGTGCATCCTCTTCTCCTTACCGTGGCCTTACAATAATCTGCAGCAAAGGGGTCTTTGTGATCACTAACTGGAATGCTTATTGATTTTAATTTGCATAGATTTTAGGTCTTTTTATTGGAGAGGCCAATTCAGCTAGGGGTGCTTTGTAAATAACAGTATCAGAGAGATTTATGAAAATGTATAAATAAGGAATATACCTTTTTTAAAAAAAATTAGGCATTTATTAGTTTTTAAAACTTTTTTAAATTTATTAATTTATTTTTAAAATTATTTTATTATTTTTTTAATTGTGCTTTGGGTGCAAATTTACAAAAGCAGATTCATTTTACATTTAACATCTCGTGCACATTTAATTTTACAGCCCCTATTACAATCCCCAACCATAAAAAACTCTCTCCCTCTTTCCTCCCTGTGACTACCCTCTCCCTGTGCCCTTCTTATGTATGCATTGAGGAATATACTGTCTTAAGAACCTAAAAAGGATTAAAAGATGTTGGACATTAGTGTGTTAAATCTTCCCAGGAGGAAGCTGTCTTTAATGTAGTGTCATACCTGTGTTCCAGGAGGGAGGTGAGTGCAGTTAATGTCTTGCCTGCAAAGAGTGTGCGGGGTGCCAAGTCTGCTGAGGTACCTCATGAATAGAATGGCATAGGTGTATCATGTTTCTTCAGAAGTTAAGGCAAACTGCAGCTGAGAGGTTGTTAACATAAGGCACTGAATAGAGCATATTAGCCAAACTATACCAGCAAAATAGTTATCATTGCTGATTGGATGGAGGATAATTTTAATATTTCATACTAAGTATAGAGGCCTTAATGAATGAGATCACAGAATTAAAGTTGTAGTAATCTACCTTGAGGTGTTGGCTATTCCTTTCAGGTTTAAAAATAGGAAAATTGGACTACTAAAAAAAGAAGCAGTGAGGTTCATCACCCTCCTACTAACTAAATCTTATATAATCAGTTTTAATCCTTTAAGACCCTGTTTTGAGTTGTTTGGGACCATATTAGCAAGTTTAACTGAGATCCATTGGGTCCCATTTTGTCAAGTCAATTTATATTTGCCAAGAACTCAATTTAATATTAATTTATTATGCAGTGTGTCAGTGTATCCATGCCCATTATTGGTTATTTTAGGGCAGTGGGTGCTATGATTATGGGAAATTTAGCAAAGACAATAGTGTTGATGTTTTAAGATGAGACATACTTATTTGTCTTCTATTTTATATTCAGTAATGCCCTTAAGGGAGCTCTGGTGGCATAGTGCCTAAGGGATTTGACTGCTAACCAGAAGGCTGGCAGTTCAAACCCACCTGCCACTCCTCAGAAGGAAGATTGGGCAATCTACTTCCATGGTGATACAGCCTCAGAAACTCAAGGAAGGGTCTCTATGAGTTGGATCTGACTCCATGGCAGTGAGAATTTAGTAATACCCTTAAGATTATAAAGTGTACCATGTTTAAATTTAGTGGGCTATGCACTATAATTTAAGCCGCAATATTGTGTAACTCCATGACAGTTGGACAGTTGGTGTATTTTAGCAGATATTAAAGTTAACTTAAAGCTTATGTGGCAGAGTCGCAGCAATCAAGTACTACTCCTTTATCTTATTGCTGTATGAATTATTTTAATACATTTTGGATTTCAAATTGGATCAAATTATGAACGTCTGTTTCAATTTAACAACACACACACAAACACATATGATTTTCTCCCACTGTATGCAGATTCCTTCCCCCACAACACACACTAGATACATTATGAAGTTATTGCCCTGTTCATATTTATAATTTTTTTTCTCTAGAGGGTCTCAAACCAGTATAGTCAAAATTAGATACCTCTCCTGTGGCAATTGTTGTATGGTTTAAGATACTAGGATTAAGTTAGGATTGAATTAACCCCTTCACTGTGTGACAGGGGTGCCATGGGTGTTGTTCCTATCACCAGGAAGATTAAGCTGCTTTTCAATGGGAGTGGCTCTATTTCAAGGCCAGGGCCCAAGATAAGCAGGCACAGAGGGGTTAGGAACAACTAAAGGAGATGAACTTGTCTGTCAGCTTGTCATCCTGTGGTGGCTTACATGTTGCTGTGAGGCTGGAGGCTATGCCACCAGTGTTGTAAAATGCCGGCAAGGTTACCCATGGTAGAAAGGTTTCAGGGGAGCATCAGGGCTAAGATAGACCCAAAAGAAGGAAGAGGCCATCCACTTCTCAAACAATTGGCCGGTGAAAACCTTATGAATAACAGTGAAACACTATTTGATATATTACTGAAAAATTTTATAAATAGCCCTGAAACCTTGTCTGATATAGTGCTGAAGATAAGCCCATCAGGTCAGAAAGCACTCAAAATTTGACTGGGGAAGAGCTAACTCCTCACAGTAGAGATGACCTTAATGATATGGATAAAGTAAAGCTTTCAGGACCTCCATTGGCTGATGTGGCACTACTCAAAATGAGTACAAACAGGTACAGATATCCATTAATTATTGGAACATGGAATATACAAAATATGAATCTAGGAAAATTGGAAGTTGTCAAAAATGAAATGGAACACATAAAGATTGATATCCTAGGCATTAGTGAGCTGAAATGGACTGGTTTTGGCCATTTTGAATCAGACAACATATGATCTACTATGCCAAGAATGACAAATTGAAGAGGAATGGTGTGGCATTCATTGTCACAAAGATTGTTTCAAGATCTGTCCTGAAGTACAATGCTGTCAGTGATAGA